CAAACTATATTCCTACCAACAGTGTAGGAGGGTTCCCTTTTCTCCATAGCCTCTCCAGCATTTAGCCTTTGTGGAATTTTGAATGATGCCATCCTGACTGGTGTGAAGTGATACCTCATTGTAGTTTGGATTTGCATTTCTCTTATAATTAGTGATATTGAGCATTTTTTCATGTGCCTATTGGCCATTTGTATGTCTTCATTGGAGAATTGCTTGTTTAGGTCTCCTGCCCATTTATTGGATTGGGTTGTTTGTTTTCTGTTATTAAATTGTATAAGCTGTTTATATATTCTGGAGATTAAGCCCTGTCAGTCTCATCTTTTGCGAATATTTTCTCCCATTTCTCCGTAGATTGTCTTTTTGTTTTGCTTATGATTTCCTTTGCTGTGCAAAAGCTTATAAGTTTAATTAGGTCCCACTTTTTAATTTTTGCTTTTATTTTTATTGTCTAGGTAGACTGCCCTAGGAGAACATTGCTAAGATTTATGTCAGATAATGTTTTGCCTGTGTTTTCTTCTAAGAGGTGTCTTGTCTTATGTTTAAGTCTTTAAGCCATTTTGAGTTTATTTTTGTGTGTGGTGCAAAGGAAGTATTCTAACTTCATTGATTTACATGCAACTATCCGGTGTTCCCAACACCATTTGCTGAGGAGACTTTACTCCGTTGTATGTTCTTGCCTCCTTTGTCAAAGATTAATTGACCAAAAGTGTGTGGGTTTATTTCCGGGCTCTCTATTCTGTTCCATTGATCCAGATGTCTGTTTTTGTACCAATACCATGCTGTTTTGATTACTGAAGCTTAAAGTCACTTTAAATTGGGTTTGCCTTGCAGCCAAAAGCCTCCTGTCTGAGATAAACTCTTTTACTTTCTTATTCAAGATGCTAAAATGATTAAGAATTAGGTCAATTTCTTAGCATAGCATTCGGGAACTTTTTCCTGATCCCTCTATTTTTGTATCTTTGTCTCCCATTATATTCTGCTGTGCATTTTACTTTCTGGCTGTGCTGGGCTCCTTGCTCTAACTGTGAGCTTTGCTATCCCACCTCCCATCCTGCCTGCCTTTGTCCTGCATTTTCTCCTAAGCTCTATTTGTCATATACATGAGTCTCTTCCTTACTGAATGATAAAACTCCTTAAAGGCAGGAATTGGGTTCATCTTTGTCCCATTGTACGTTTCACATAATAGGATCCAAGTAGAGATCTGCTTTGTTACTGAGCTGAGTTCTAGAATAAATGACCTCAAACTTCTGTATCAGTAACTCCTTACAAAAGTAATAGGGATGATACCCTCCTAAACTTCATGAGAACTTGCTTTCAGAAGATGTAAAATGCTATTCCATGATAAAGATTTTTTTAAAAGAATTAAAAAAAATTTTAAAAACAATTAATTCAGTCTTACTCTCCTGGCCACTAAACTCCTCTGGGCCTGTGTCTCCACACAGTTCTATTCTGAAACTCCGGTGTCCAGTGTCAGGCAGCAAAGTTGAGCATTGGATGATGAATACTCCATCTTTCACAAACTTAATCCCCAAGGCCAGTGGATTATGAAACTTTTGGGTTAATTTTATAATGTACTTAATTTTCTCTGGCATGATACACTATTTCATCAGAATTCATTTTTAGGTGATATGTGTTGACCTAAAACAGACTGCCAAACATTTCTTCAGCAAAGATGGACTTATTCAGTATCAGCAAGAATTGCTCTGTATCATTGCTAATTTAGAGTCAATGAATTTATTTATGGTTAAGATATAATAATAGTGTTTATAAGTCAGAGTCTGCTAAGGAGACAGAAACCTCACAGTAATTTGAAAAGAGAGGGCTTATATAAAGAATTCTTAACTATTTTCAGAGAAAAATACTAAAAGGGAATAAAGAGAACTCTAAAGAATACCCCAAGCTGATGGAGTATCCAAGGAAGGGGGTCCTCCCTAAGTCTGGGACTCAGCCCTCTTTGGGCTGGTTGCCCACTGGACGGTGGAGAAGTTTACTGGGTGCTCAAGCCACAGTGGTCTACAGTCAGCAAGCTGAGGCTTGCGGGCAGGTACTGTGGGGCTGGGACTCACCAGCTGGAAGCCTCCTGCAGTGGTGCCAGTCAGCTGAGACTAGGTGGTAGGACGCTGCCTGCTGGGATGCTGATGACATTTGCTTGGAGGCTGCCTGTGGACGCTGCTGTTGAACTGGCTGAGAAGCTGGCTGGATACTGGCTGGACTCAACCAGAAACCTGCCAGGAGGTCACCTGCAAGAGGTGTTATTGAACTCTCTGGGCACCCTCAGAACCCAGCTGAATCCACCCATGAGGATGTGCCACGGAACTTACTGATGTGAAGCTAGCTGGAGTGACTGCAGAACTCTCCAGAGGCTGCCACCTGGAGATGGGGAGATGCCGGTGAACTCAGCTAAGATGCCCCTGGAACTTACTGCAAACTGCCTTGGGAGGTACCGCTGCACTTAACTGCTGCAAATCCTACTGGGGAACTTTTGGAACCCACCGAAGACTTCTGCAGGGGTACCGCTGAAACTCACTGAAGGTGAACTCCTCTGGATGTCCTGCACGCTAGCCCAGCATTGCAGGAGCTAGAATGCTGGCATGCACACAGGAACTTGGAAGAGAACCCTACCTCCTGCAGCGTCCCTCTAGCGCCCTCTACTGACAAAGCTTAACATTGTGCCATCTGGAAAGAAAGATTTCAGTATCACAAGCACGCAAAGAACGATGGATTTGGAGCTGAGAAGCAATAAATTAATGACTGACTGGCATGGAGCTCTTGTCAAAATCACTGCTCTATTTTAAAATTACCTCTTTGCTTTACCTGTTTGTTTCTTCTGGTAACAGACGATATGTAAGGGCTTCAAAGGTAAGGCCAATCTTTACATTTTATGTGTAGCGTAGTGTTTGGCAAGTATTATACATTTAACACAAATTTATCAAAATGTGCTACTGCATATACGTAAACATTGCATCCTGCGCTCACTCGGTCTGACAAGCACTAGGTGTGCCAGGATTTAGTTGGCATGAAGGGAGTTATTTCTGTTATTTTCAATGTTTGCACAAAGAAGGAAAATTGCAGTAGTGGTGATGGACACACTGCACACCTGTAGAGTCACTATTTTCTAAAAATGAACTTTTTGTAGTTCCTTGGCATTTTGGTTGGGGTTGACTGACTGGAAATCCTCCATGAGTCACCAGGGGGGAAAAATCCCCCCCCCCTTCTTTGGAGAGAAAGTTTATTCTACTCAGAAATATATTGAGAAAATGAAAAAAGCAATTATACTAGTAAGCTGAAGGATGCTCATTTCACACAAATTTTAGTCAAAAATGCTGAAAGTTAGCAATCTCTACTGCACAAAGATTCTTTATTCTTAGATTATTAAAATTTCTGCTTAGTTTTAAATATTTTAGAAATGTGTTGAATATTCTATCATGATTAATGCTACCTATAAAATAGTGTTAACTATTCTGAATATTTAGTGGTTAGGGAATCAAGGTTAGCCTTCACAGTTTCTGTTACCTTGTTTTATTAAATTAATATATAGGCTGCTAGAAAGATGTAAGCCATTCACCTTTAAAAAACAAACTGGTAGCTACTGTGCCAACAAACAAGCACAAGGAAAAAAGAAACAAAAGAAATTTCTGAATAAATATAGCAGAGTAGGAAATAGCAGGTACAAAATTCAATTTGGAAGGCAAAAATTATTTAACAACAGTAAAAAGTACACCAATAGCCTTGAAGGGAGGACAGTAGCATCAATAATATTTGAAAAATGTCATCAGTGATAAACCAAAGAGATTAACAGGAACAGAGATGCAAGTTGAAATTATTTAGAAATCACACGGCGATGCCCTCAATTTGAAGGGTAATGTAATGACAGGAATAACCACAATTGAAAAGAAAGCATAAGATATTATATGACAATATTTTACAGAATTATGCAAAAAAAATGAAAACCTGACTGAAATAGATGATTTTTTAAGAAATGTTAAAGAAAATAATTGATCTCAGAAGAGATATAAAAGCTAAATAGATGAACAACTACATAAGAAACCCAGAAAGTAATCAGAGAAACCTCAAGGAAAAAGTGGTTTTGTGGATGATTTTTTTCAAATTTTCAGAGTACAGAGATTTTCAATGCTCTTTAAATTGTTTCAGAGCATGGAGAATGAAGGAAAGCACCTGTATTAGTCAGGGTTCTCCAGAAAATCAGAGCAAATAGAATCCGTATATTAGCTCATGCTGCCGTAACAGAATACCGTAGACTGGGTGGCTTAGCCAATTGGAGGCTGGAAGTCAGAGATCAGGGTGCCAGCAAGGTTAGGTTTTGGTGAGGGCGCTCTTCCTCGCTTGCAGATGGCCACCTTCTCACTGTGTTCCCACATGATAGAAAGACAGAGCAAGTTCTCTGGTGTCTCTTCCAGTAAGGACACTAATCTCATCATGAGGGCCCTATCCCTTACCAAATGTGTATATAATTTCTAACTCCTTATCTTTTTGTAGGCTCAATTCTCTACATGCTATTTCAGTATGGGTTTATGCTCAGTTAATTTCCAAGCCTCTTATTTATCAAGATTCACATACTCCTCTAAGAAAGCTGAAGTATCAGCTTACACTCTTTTTGTGTTCAGTTTCCTTCATAATTTTTGTCCTCTGGAGACTTCCCTCACTTTCTTGTGAGTAGAGCTGTGTATGTTAAAATAATGTTTGCTATCTTTTATTTGTCATTTCTATAATTTTGTACCAGAAAGATTTTCAGTTTATCTTTAAGGCCCTGTTTTCAGAGAACATTTTTAGATGATATTAAAACACATTAATTTGTCCACATGTTTACAAACTCTTCAAAATACTTTGATGTTAATTTTGAAGGTATTTTAATAGCTTCAGATCAGGACAAAATTATACAAAATGGCCAATAACTGGTTCCTGCAAAAAGACTAAAAAGCTGATGTTAGGTTAATGAACAATGTAATAATCTAGAATTTTTGCAATGGTTTCTTTCAAAGAAAATAGTGAATACAGAAATGCATTAAGGTGGGTTAATTGTGTAAATAACAATTATTCTCAGGCAAAATCTTTTATTAAGAGATCTTAATTCTAACAAGAAAACTGGATTGAAATTTGAAGATCTAGTGTACAAGTTAATGGTTCTGGATGTTTGCTGTTCATCAATTCTCAGAGACATAAAAATGATTTAGCTCAGTGTTGGCAGGGCTGCAAGTAAGAGGGTAAATTCTTTTATGGCTGATGGTAATATAAATGGGTATCATTTTTCTAAAGATCAGGAAGGTAACATGTAACAAGATTGTAAAAATACATTCATATCATCTGATAAAAGAATGTTATTTCCAATTATTTTGCTTTATTCTACTTTTATCCATTTATCTCTCCCTTCTTTTGTTCATTGACCAACAGTGTTTGGGGAGCCACTTACATGCCAAACATTACAATTATTTTGTGAATAAAATGATAATCTACACATGATTCTTTCTCTTCAGAAACCATTGGCCTAATTATATAATAGACTTCTCCTACTTTCATAGTCCCACCCTGTCCCCCCAAAAAGATGCATTATCAACAGAGATATTAAAAGCACAATAATTCACAACAACAAAAAACTTTTTCTACGTAAGCCCCTCTAACACCAATGCAAAGAAATACAATAATAATAAGAAAAACGAGTATGTGGAATTCTACTTCTTCCAAGAGGGAGTAACACGGTCAAAATGAACTTCCAGCCATAAATATCTAAATAGTTGAGAACTATAGAGGAAATCTATTTTTAAATATTGGAGAACTGCCAGCACAGAACCATGAATTCTAAAGTGAAGAAATTAATGTTAGACATACTATCACCTATATACTTTCTGCCCAGAGATAGTTCCCTGTGGTGTAGATGGGAGTAACACAATAAAGTCTAGCAGTCATTGTTAGTTGTGTATACCAGCTAGAATTCTTGGAGCAGATTACCCAAAAGAGGGGAAATACAGAGGTAAAATTTCCGGGAATCGATAATAGGGAACCCCGGAGTCTTTCTCTGAATACCGAAGTGTTCGTGCATAGGGCGAATGCTCCTTTGGGCCATCCAAAAACGTCTTTCAAAGAAAGAACAATTAATGAGAAATTCTAAGACAATAATCAGAGCTCACATAGAACCAGAAAGTATCCTTAAATCAGTGGGGAGAAATCTCATTGAGGTCATGAGACCTTAGGAGTGGCACAAAATTGATTATAGAATAAAGGCTACTCTAGACCCAACTTAAAAGACTTTAAAAACAAATCTCAAAAGGAATAAGCTAATCAAAAAGAAACTTGACTTCTTTCCAGAAACCAATCAAACAGCATTTTAAAAATACAACAAAATCTAGCAGTCAACAATATAAAATTTACAATGCTCAGCATCCTCTCAAAACTCACTAGAAACGAAGAAGGAAAATGTAACCCCTAATTGTGAGAAAAATCAGTCAATGAAAACAGACAAGAAATGACAGATGATGGACTCTGCACAAAATGATACTGAAATATCTATTATAAATATAATGCATATGCTTACATATGTAAAAGAAAATAGGATCCTGGTGAGGAGAGAAATTGAAAGTATATAAAAAAAGAATGTAATGCCTAGAAATTACAAACATTATATCTGAATTGAAAAAATACATGGCTGGGATGAGCTATATTAGACATTGCAAAAAGAAAAGATTAGTGAACTGGAAGACCTAGCCGTAGAACTATTTGAAATGAAGTACAAAGAGAGAAAAGACAGAAAGTAATAAACAGCACAGGGACATGTGGGAAAATACCAGCCAACCTAACGTACGTGTAACTGAAGTGCCAGAAAGATGAGGGGACAGACAGAAAAAAATTACCAAAAAATTTCCAAATTTGACGAAAACTATAAATCCACAAATCCAAGAAGTTAAATACACTCCAAATAGAAAAAACAAAGAAAATTATACTGTGTCATATTATAATCAAATTGCTGAAAACCAGTGATATTGGAGAAAATCTTAAAAGCAGCCAGGGGGGAAAGTCACATTACACACAAAGGAAGGGTGATTAGAATTTTTGCAGACCTCTTGTCCAAAACAATGTAAACTGGAAGATAAAGAAGAGATATCCTGAAAGTATGGTGGTGGGGGTGGGTGGGTGGATTATATTGTCATGCTAGAATTCTTTACCCAGTGAAAATAGCTTTTACAAATAAAGGCAAGGTAAAGTGTTTTTTAGACAAACAAAAGAGAGAATGTATACCCTACAGGCCTGCACTACAAAAAATGTTAAAGTTCTTCAGGTAGAAAGGGAATAATACCAGGTGGAAATCTTGAACTATACAAAAGAATGAAGAACACCAGAAATTCTAAAAGTGGGAATGAATGTGAAGTGTATTTCCCCACTTAAAATTTTTTTAAAAGATAATTGATGGTCCAACGCAAAAATAACAACATATTGTGGGATTAGTAACACATATAGAAGTAAAATGTTTGATTTTGACAAAGATAGTTTCCAATAAAGGCTAGAAAGGAAAAATGAAAAAGTATACTATACTAAGGCTTTATTTGAAGGTAGACTGGCACAAATTAAAAACTTATATTGTAAACTCTAGAACAATACTTTAAAATATTTTAGAACTAGTAAATCACATCACTAATTGTTAGAGAAATGCAAATCAAAACCACAATGAGATATCACCTTACACCAGTCAGAATGGCCATCATTAAAAAGTCCACAAACAATAAATGCTGGAGAGAGTGTGGAGAAAAACGAACACTCCCACGTTGTTGGTGGGAATTTAAATTGGTGCAGCCACAATGGAGGACAGTATGGAGGTTCCTTAAAAACTAAAAATAAACTTACCATAAGATCTAGCAATCCTACTCCTGGGCATATACCTGGAGAAAAATATAATTTGAAAAGACATATGCACCCAGTGTTCACAGCAGCACTATTTACAATAGCCAAAACATGGAAACAACCTACATGTCTATCAACAGATGACTGGATAAAGATATGGATGGAATACATAATGGACATGGAATACTACTTGGCCATAATAAAGAATAAAATAATGCCATTTGCAGCAACATGAATGAACCTGGAGAATGTCATTCTAAGTGAGGTAAGCCAGAAAGCGAAAGAAAAATGTCATATGATATCACTTTTATGTGAAATCTAAAAAAAGGAAAAAAGAGGACACTAATGAACTCATCTACAAAATGGAAACAAACTCACAGACATAAAGAACAAACTTATGGTTACCAGCGGGTAAAGGAGATAGGGACGGATAAATCGGGAGTTTGAAACTTGCATCTCCTGGAAAGTGGTGGAAATGTTAGCTATGTTGATTGTGGTGGTGGTTTCATCTATCAAAATTCATCAACTTGTACATGTGAAGTATGTGTAGTTTACAGTACAGGAGTTATACTGCAATAAAGGTGTTTTAAAATATTTTAGAGCTAGTAAATCAATAGAAGAGATAAAATGGAATCTTGACAATTATTAAATTTAGTAAAAGAGCCAAAAGGAACAAAGATAAGACAAATAGAAAATATAGGGCAAGATGGTAGATTTAAATTATTGTATTGATAATTTCATTAAATGTAAATGACCTAACACTCCATTAAAAAGCAGAGATAACTGAATAAAAAGGAAAAGGCAATTATATGTTGTCTACAAGAAAAAATGTGTTTTAAATATAAAGGCAAATGATACTTCAAATAAATGATGAGAAGATATAACATGCCAACATCATTCAAAAGAAAGAATAGATATTTTTCTATTAGGCAAAGTTTATTTCAGAGCATGGAATATTACCAGAGATAAAGAAGGACATTTCTTAATGATAAACATTAAACATATAGAAATGTGAGATATATTCATCTTATATATATATTTATCTAAACACAGAACTTCAAAACACACGAAGGAAAAAAATTGATAAAATGCAAAGAAGAAATAGACAAAACCACAGCTACACTCCTCTCAATATTTGATAGAGCACACAGACAAACAAAAGGTTATCAGCCAGCTATACCTAATTCATGTTTATAGAGCACTCCACCCAACAAATACAATGCACATTCTTTTCAAGGGCATATGAGCAATCACCAAAATAGACCACATTCTGGGTCATATAACAAATTTCAATAAATCTTAAAAGATTAAAATTGTAGAAATTACGGTGTCTGACCACAGACATTAAACTGAAAATCAGTAACTGAAAGACACCAGTAAAAAATAAAAACACACTTCTAAAATTCTAATAACCAGTGAAACAAAGAAGAAATCACAAGAAAAATTTAGAAATATTTTAACAGAGTAAAAATTAAAATCAACATCTCAAAATTTATACAATGCAGCAAATGTAGTGCTTAGAGAAAAACATGACAAGCTTGTGGTAGAAGAGAAAAATCGCAAACCAATTAGCTAAACTTCCACTTTAAGAAATTGGGAAGAGAAGAGTAAATTAAGCCTCGAGTAAGAACAAGTAAGAAAATAATAAAAATAAGAGCAGAAATCAATAAAATAAAGATAAAAACTATACAGAATATTAATGAAACCAAAACTGATCATTTTTAAAATAATAAAATCTATAAACATTCAGATACTTTGGTTAAAAAAATAAAGGAAAAAAGACATAAATCACAAATATTAGGAATGAGAGAGAAAACACATGTCCTGCAGATTCTAAAAAGTCAGAAAGGAAATATTATGGAAAATACAATGACAATAAATCAATAAATCTGATAGCTAAAGTGAAGTGAGTTTATTCCTTGAAAGACGCATGCTAACAAAGCTTGCCCAAGAAAAAACAGATTACATAACAAGCCACATAGGTTTTGAAAAAATAAAATTCATAGTTAAAATGTCCCCACAAAGAAACTCCAGGCTTAGAAGGCTTCTCTGGTGAATTCTGCTAGACATTTAAAATATAATCTCAATTATACACGAACACTTTTAGAAATTAGAAGAGGATGTAATGCTTTCTTACTCATTTTATGATACCATCATTATCCTGATACCAAAATTAGATAAAGACACAAAGACACTACAAAAAAGGAAAACTGCATTTGAATATCCCTCATGAACATTGACCTCAAAACATTAACAAATATTAGCAAATAGAATCCAGCAATATTTAAATAGGCCATCATGACCCAAGTGGAGTTAATCCCTGAAATGCAAGGTTGATTTACCATTCAAAATTCGATGTCAGTTTTATCAATGCCATCCCATTACTCAAATAAAAGCAAACAGAACAAAGAGTGTCATTGTCCACCCCTGACATTTCTGGTATAGTATTTTACTGTCATTTACATTATCACTTTCTATAATGACAAAATTTTGTCATTTACATAAGTCAGCAAAGTCTCCTTTTAGACCACTGTTATTTATTTGATGAAATGGAATGTCTTAGGGAAAAACTGGCAGGCTTCAACATGATATAATCTATTCAATGGTATCTGCAAAAATCAGAAATGTATAATAAATGCATTAAATACTCATAAAATTCGGTAGGATCCAATAATTTTATTAATAAAATTGATGTAATTTTTAAATGCATAGCTCTTAGATATAGATGACAAAACTTGCAGCTAAAGTCAAGGAAGGAGATAGTGTGGGCCCTCAACAGTATCATGACCTGGCATTTTTCCTTTTTTTTTCTGTTATGAAATTTGATTTCTTTTCCATAATTTTTGTTTGGCTGAAATAAGTATTATAACTGATTTATTGACCACTTAGCAAACTTTTCTCTAATTATTCATTAACAGATGTTTAAAAAAAACTTCTCTAAAGTAGATGAAATGAGATAATTATTCATTAAGGCATTATGTGCTAAACTGTAAACAAGACATTGTATAGCCATGATAAAGTAATACAGTAAAAGAAGAGAGCAACCTATGTTTTATTGCTGCAATTCCAAAGACAAATTGCTCTCAAAACTGGGGTGACCTAAGGTCCTATGTCAAGAATTTCTGTGCGCTTGGACAGGGACCTTTATAGGCTGGAGTTTTTGGTAACTTAGGAAACCATTTAGTGTGTCCTTCCCATCTAATGTCATGTGTATCAGAGAAGGAGAGTGAATTTCACAAAGACATTTGGGGCATATTTCCTCCAGGCCCTTGAGAACTATTATGTAGAATGTGACTTGCAAGCAAAGCAAATAAACACTGATTTGAGATGACTCAGAGTTTCTAGTAGTAATTAAGAGAATTCCCATGTAAAAAAATAAACACAG